ACAAACCTTCCACCATCAGAGCTCCAGTCTATGGCTCCCCCAGGCATGATATTTCAGCCAATGTGGACACGGGCTTGCAGATATTCATCTTCTACTGAATTTGGTCTATATTCATTTTTACAAGTGTTTGGAATCTGAAAGGCTTTGTAGGTTCGACCAAGATTTGAACTCAGATCACTGAATTCAGAGTTCTAACCATTATTGTCACTGATATCTGGCAAGGCAGGATTACACCATAGGTCAGAGACTATGATGTTGTAATCAAAGCCCAAGTTGCAGAATTGGTTCCTATTCCCCTTCAATAAAGGCAATGCAGGTTCCACTGAGATTTGAACCCGGCTCGCTGATTTCAGAGTCCAGAGCGCTAACCTGCAAAGAGCCCTGACCTCATCCCCACCGAACTTCTTTGGGATGAACTGGAACACCAACTGCACCCCAGGCCTCCTCGCCAGACATCAGTGACCAACCTCACTAATGCTTTTGTGGCTGAATGAACACAAATCCCCACAGCCACGCTCCGAAATCTAGTGGAAAGCCCTCCCAGAAGAGCGGAGCTTATTATAACAGCAAAGGGGGACTGAATCTCGCATGTGGGTGCGATTCCAAGTTGGAATGTGTCTAAAGCACAAAGTCATGGTAGCTGCCACTATGAATGTGAGCAGACGGTCAGATTTACATGGTAAAGTTTGTACAGTTTAAGTTTGTACGCATTTTGTGCTTTGATGAGGAATGCATTTTCTTCAAAAATTATCAGAATAACCCAGAAATTTTTGTCTAAAAAATTGACATGTCAGTGCATAGATTTTTGATTTTGTGTTGTTTGGGTACAAAAATAAAAACAAACAAACAAACAAAAAGTTCTCACGCCATCCATTTTTTCTTGAACAAAACCACTTGAACACACACCACATCGTAATCATGTGCACAAACTTTCGAGGAGCAAGGCAAGGATTCCCCCTGTCTCCCTGCTGTTTGTTTTGGCCATAGAACCCTTAGCTATAGCTATAAGAGAGCACAAACACATTTCAGGCATAAGAGTTTGTGAATATGAACATCGAATTTCCTTACACGCAGATGATATTATACTTTTCTTGGCTAATCTAAAGGACAGCATCCCCCATTTATTGAACTTAATAAGAATATTGGGAACATCTCAGGGTATGAATTAAATACTTCTAAATCGGGTCTGATGTTTTTAAATAAAGATGAAAGGTTAAACCCTACTTTTAGGATGCCATTCTCAGATGTAAAGGAACAATTCACTTATCTTGGTGTTAAAATTACTCCTGATATCAATAAATTTGTTTCCACTAATTATGACTCGCTGAAGGATACAGTGACAGAGATGTTGAGTCTGTGGTCTTTGTTACTCATATCAATGATTGGCCGCATAAATGTTATAAAAATGATGATACTGCCAAATTCTTTGTATCTTTTTCGGTCTCTCCCGTTACTGTTAACAGACGCTTTTTTTTTTGATAAACTTAATCAGCTACTGAGTAAATTTATGTGGAATAATAAAAAGGCCAGACTTAGACTCAAGTTAGTTTATTTATCTTATGATAGAGGGGGCTCCAACTGTCTAAGTTTAAATGGTACTATTGGGCTGCACAATTGAGATCAACTATGTTTTATTTCTCTATAGCAGCTCCCCCAGCCTGGATTAATATTGAACAGTTAGCCAATCTAGGACTTCCTTTGAAGCTTTACCTAAACTCAACAAATGTTAAAACATTATGTAAACAGACTAAAAATCCTAAAAGCAT